AAGCAAGGCTTCCAAGGAACAGGGACGAGATCTTGACTTGATTCCAAATGATGCCTCATCTGACTACAGATCTTGTATTTGGGGCTTTTATCTCCTCGTTAAGCTATGTCCCAAGTGGTCAGAAATTGGTTTTGCTTTAGCCTTGAATCCCTTATCTTTCTTTCTCCGAGCCTGGCAGAACACCAGAGCCACTGATCTGTTTTCCTATTCTGACTAATAACATCCCGTCTATCTATTTGCTCATTAATTTCTGCAGCTGGGCCAGATGCTGAGCTGTTCTCAAGCTCCAAATCATGGGAATTTTCTGGTAGTGATACAGGGAGCACACCATCTTCCCTATACTCTTCAGGGACATTCTCATGAGAACTGAACAGAGATCTGGTCATTTTCTGCATCAATATAATTGGAAACACCATTACCTTCATGAACCGCATTGTGATCATCCCCCACATCCAAAGCACCCTGATCCTTAAACACAATCACAGGCTGAGCTACAACACCCATTGGCATTAACAAATGACTCTCGACCTGCCAAAAAGTTTTACTGTCAGCTGGACACCATCCTATCGGAAATACCTAAGGAGGAAAAAAATCATCCCCTGGGGGATTTTAACGCAAGAGTCGGACAAGAATTTGACCTACGCCCAAGGACCATAGGAAAAGATGGGGTTGGAAACAACAACTTGAATAGCACCCTGCTTCTCACCAAATGTGCATAACGCAACCTTGTCATCACCAACACGCTCTTCCGCCAGAAAAACAAGTTCAGGACATCATGGAAGCATCCCCAGTCAGAGCATTAGCATCTCTTAGACTATGTGATTACACGTGCCAGAGACCACCAGGATGTGCTTCTCACAAGAGCCATGACAGGCGCTCATGACTGCGGGACAGACCAAAGGTTAATCCGATCCATGATGGCCATCAAGATCGCCCCACACGCAAACTCCAAGGCAGAAAAACAAGGCGAAAAATGTACTCGAGCCCTTCAGGAGCCCTCCAAACGAGGCCTTCACCAGGCAGCACTAAGTGATCATCTACTCATAGAACACCCTGAAAATACTGAAGAACATTGCAACGAACTGAAGACCTCCATCATCACAGCCTGCGAAGAAACTATTGGATGCCAAACTAGGAAAAATCAAGATTGGTTTCACGAAAATCACAACGAGACCCAACAGGTAATTGACAAGAAAAGGAAAGCCTTCCAAACATGGCACAGGGACATCAACTGTGCTGCTGAGAAAAAGATCTACGCCAGTGCAAAAGCTGAAGTCCAAAGAAGGACAAGAGAACTCAAGAACATCTGATGGACAAAAAAACCAAGAAACCCAACACTTGGCAGATACCCATGATGCTCAGGGGTTTTTCAAAGCCACAAAGGTCACTTATGGACCAAGAAACCATGGCATACACCCTCTACGCTCATCAGATGGAACCAAACTTCTGCAGGACAAAAAAATCAATTGCACTATGTTGGAAAGAGCACAATCACAACCTCCTGAAACGCAGTTTCCATGTGGCCGAAGAGGTTCTCACAATAACAAACCAGGGATGAGCTTGCAGCACTGCCTAGTTTGAAGGAAGTCAGCAATGCCATCAGCCAACAAAAAAATAACAAAGCCAGTGGACCTGATGGGATCCCTACTGAAATTTTTAAAGAGGGAGGACCTGAGTTGACACAACAACTCCACCAGCTCATTGAAAAAGTGTGGGTGACCGAGAAAATCCCAGCAGACTTTGAGGATGCCACCATCATCACCCTCTTCAAAAAGGGGAAAGAACAGACTGCGGAAACTATCGAGGTACCTCCCTTCTAACCTCCGCTGGGAAAATCCTCGCAAGAATCCTTGCAACCCTCTTTCGACCTGTCTCAGGAGACACCTTCCCAGAAAGGCTTCTGCCCCTCCAGAGGAACCGTGGACATGGTTTTCATTGCACAACAGCTCCAAGAAACATGCAGGGAATAAAATCAACCTCTGTACATTCATGCATTCATTGACATAGTGATTCGCAGCGCTCTCTGGACCATCCTCCAAAAACTCAGGCACCCTGACAAATTTGTGAACATCCTGTGGCTCCTCCACGATGGCAACACTCTTGGGCAGGAGTGGCTCCCAAAGTGACCCATTTAAGGTGGAATCAGGTGTCCATCAGGGATGTGTTCTTGCCCCCACCTTATTTTCCCTTTTCAACATTATGATACTTCATCTTGTTGATGGGAAGCTTCCCACCAGAGTGGAAATAATCTATCAGGCAGATGGCAAGCTATTTAATCTCAGCAGACTGAAAGCCAAGACAAGAGTCACAACGTCTGCTATAGAACTCCAATATGCCGATGACCTACAAGCCGCTCTAAACACCTTTGCAGAAGCGTATGAGAAACCTGGCCTCTCACTGAACATCGAGAAAACCAAAGTGCTCTTCCAACCGTCACCAACCAGCCCATCTGCAATGCCAGAAATACACCTTAATGGTGTAACATTAGAAAAGGTTGACAATTACCGCTACCTTGGCAGCCCCCTCTCCACAAAAGTCCAACACCACCTGAGCTCTGCGAGTGCAGCATTTTTCCGAATGAAGCAGAGAGTGTTTGAAAACCGGGACATCCGTAGGGAGACCAAAATGCTTGTTTATAATGCTATTGTCCTCCCTACCCTGCTATACAGTTGTGAAATGTGGACTCTCTATAGGCGTCACACTCAACTCCTGAAACAGTGCCATCAGCATTGCCTCCGAAAATCCTGCAAATCTCTTGGGAAGACAGATGAACAAACGTTAGTGTGCTGGAAGAAGCAAAGACCACCAGCATTGAAGCGATGCTCGTACGTCATCAACTCCACTGGACTGGCCACACTGTCTGAATGCCCGATCACCATCTCCCAAAGCAGTTACAATACTCCCAAGTCAAGGACAGAAAATGGAATGGTGGTGGACAGGAAAAGAGATTTCAAGATGAACTTAGAAACTGTGGCATAGACACGGAGAACTGGGAAGCCCTGTCCCTTGAGCACTCTAGCTAGAGGTCAGCTGTGACCAGCAGTGCTATGGAATTTGAAGAGGCACAATTGAGGGAGAAAGAGGCCAAGGGGAAGGCGCATCAAGCCAACCCTGACTGGTAACCGATGCCCTCACTGTGGAAGAACATGCAGGTCAAGAATAGGGCTTCACTGTCACCTCCGTATGCTCCATCAGGACACGACACTTGGAAGGCTCTCATACTCAGAGAACGAGGGATTGCCCAAGTGAAACCCTATTTTTTCTATTCTTGATGGCAGTCAACTATATACATAACTTCTTTAGTTAAGATATAATAATAGATTAGTAATATACATGTAAACATGTATAATTATAATTCACGTAGGATCTACACTGGCAGTTTTCAGAAAGAATTTGAAAACCTGGCTGTTCCAATGTGCCTTTTCAGATTAGGAATCTCCCAGGACCAAATCCCAGAAGCACTTTAGTTACCAAGATCACCGCACACTGCACACCGCACTTTTATTATAATCCCACACCCCTCTGACACATCAGCACTTTTAACCCTGTACCCTACTTCGGCCGACTCAGTTTTTAATAATGTCTTGTCGTGTTGCTATTGTCACTGTTTTTGCTTGACTGTTTTATTTGCTATGTATTGTATTGTTGTATTGTTTTTGGGCTTCAGCCTGCTGTAAGCCGCATCGAATCCTTCGGGAGATGCTAGCGGGGTACAAATAAACTTATAATAATAATAATAATCTACACATAATAAACCTTATATAAATGTATCAATCTTCTTGAAGTTATATATTTTTATACTTTAATTCAGAAATATTAACTCATCAATTTTCCAAAACTTTTTTGCCATTAGACATACAAGTTATATAGTTTAAACAAATGTATTATCTCGTAACACTTTTAGTTCACAAATCCTATTGCAGTCATCTTCTACTGCTCAAAGCACCCCTGACAGACCACCATCCAGCCTCTGTTTAAAAGTTTAAAAAACTCCGGGACAGAGAGTTCCAATGCTGAACAGCTCTCACAGTCAGGAAGTTCTTCCTAATGTTCAGGTGGAATCTCCTTTCTTGTAGTCTGAAGCCATTCTTCCATTGCGTCTTAGTCTCCAGGGAAGCAGAAAGGAAGCTTGCTCCCTCCTCCCTAGGACTTCCTTTCACATGTTTATACATGGCTATCATGTCTCCTCTCAGCCTTCTCTTCTTCAAGCTAAACATGCCCAGCTCTTTAAGCTGCTCCTCATAGGGCTTGTTCTCCAAACCCTTGATCATTTTAGTCACCCTCCTTTGGACACATTCCATCTTGTCAACATCTCCCTTCAATTGTGGTGCCCAGAATTGGACACAGTATTCAAAGTGTGGTCTAACCAAGGCAGAATAGAGCATGGGGAGCATGACTTCCCTGGATCTGGACACTAGGCTCCTATTGATGCTGGCCAAAATCCCATTGACTTTCTTTTTGTGAGAAGACCGAGGCAAAGAAGGCATTAAGTAGTTCTGTCTTTTCCCTATCCCCTGTCAGCAATGCCCCATCTTCTTCTCAAAGAGGCCCTATCGCCTCCTTGTTCTTCCTTTTTCTACTGACATAAGACCAGAAGCCCTTTTTATTGTTTTTAATGTCCCTGGCAAGCCTGAGCTCATTGTGTGCTTTACCCCTGCAAACCTTTTTCCTACTGGAGTTGGCTATTTGTTTGAATTCTTCTTTGGTGATTTCTCCCTTTTTCTACTTCTTGTGCATGTCTCTTTTGAGTCTGAGCACAGTTAAATTTCTTTGGACATCCATTCTGGCTTCTTTGCACTTGTCCTATTTTTTCTCTTTGTTGGCATTATTTGCAATTGCGCCTTGAGTATTTCACTCTTGAAAAACTTCCATCCATCCGTAACTCCTCATGAAAGAATCTTCATGTAAAAGAAGTTTCTTTCCTTGTGATTTGAGGTTTGCTTGTCTAAAATTCCCAATAGAAAAGGTTCTGGTTTCAGTATTACTTAGATTTTTTTAAAAAAAAAAATGTTTCAATAAAATATGCACTCTTATCTAGAAGGCTTTAGCTTTTGGGCAAGTTCAGCACATAGGATAAAAGGTTCCAGTCATTTCTTTACATTTCCAGAATATCAGCCATTTAAAAAAAGTTATAATCCATTCCTCTGGTGTTGGTGTTCTTTGTTTTTTCCATAGTTTTGCATATTCATTTCTTGCTGCTGTAGTCATGTACAGGAAGATTCTTTCCTGCTGTTTTGGGATTTGCTTGTCTAAAAGTCCCAATTAAAAATGTTCTGGATTCAGTGTTACTTAGTTTTTTAAATTTTGTTTTCAATGTTGGTATGCACTTGTAGCCTTTGGGCAAGTTCAGCACATATGATAAAAGGTTCCAGTCATTTCTTTACATTTCCAGCATAAATTCATTTTTTTTAATTTATCTTCTACGATTTTTCTCAAGTTATGTAACATCTGCGAATCATTTTGTAAAACTTTTCTTTAACGGAGTAACTTCTTGAAAATTGTAAGCAATTCCTCCAAAGTTCCTCCCATTCTTCTACATTTATCTATTTCAGGGGTCCACAAACTACGGCCCGCGGGCAAGACCCGGCCCCCCGAGGGCATTTATCCGGCCCCTCCCAGTGAAACGCTTTCCATACTCAAGGCTCAGATGACCCCTCCCAGTGAAACGCTTTCCATACTCAAGGCATCCCAGTGTGCGTTCTATTATGTTTTAGAAGATTTCTACTTTCAGAGAAGCTTTTTCCACACTCCAGGCATTTATAGAGTTTCTCCCCAGTGTGAGTTCGTTGGTGTCTACGTAGGTCTCCACTGGCAGTGAAGTTCTTTCCACACTCCAGGCATTCATAGGGTTTCTCCCCAGTGTGAGTTCGTTGGTGTCTACGTAGGTTTCCACTGCCTGTGAAGTTCTTTCCACACTCCAGGCATTTATAGGGTTTCTCCCCAGTGTGGATCCTTTCATGTTGCTGCAGCTGATGTCTCAAAGTGAAACTCATTCCACACTCCAGGCATTCATAGGGTTTCTCCCCAGTGTGAGTTCGTTGATGTGAATGTAGACTTCCACTCCGGCTGAAGTTCTTTCCACATTCCAGACATTTATAGGGTTTCTCCCCAGTGTGAGTTCTGTGGTGATACCGCAGATTCCCATGCCAAGTGAATCTCTTTCCACACTTCAGGCATTTATAGGGTTTCTCCCCAGTGTGAGTTTGTTGGTGTTCCTGTAGAGTTCCACTATGAGTGAATCTCTTTCCACATTCCAGGCATTTATAGGATTTATCACCAGTGTGAATCCTTTCATGTTGCTGCAGATTATGTCTCAAAGTGAAACTCTTTCCACACTCCAGGCATTCATAGGGTTTCTCCCCAGTGTGAATCCTTTCATGTCGCTGCAGATGACATCTCAAAGTGAAACTCCTTCCACACTCCAGGCATTCATAGGGTTTCTCCCCAGTGTGAGTCCTTTGATGTGAATGTAGATGACCACTTTGGGTGAAGTTCATTCCACATTCCAGACAYTTATAGGGTTTCTCCCCAGTGTGAGTTCTGTGGTGAGACTGCAGACTCCCATACCGGGTGAAGCTCTTTCCACATTCCAGGCATTCATAGGATTTATCACCAGTGTGAATCCTTTCATGTTGCTGCAGATGTTTCCTCTGAGTGAAGCTCTTTCCACACACCAGGCATTCATAGGGTTTCTCCCCAGTGTGAGTCCTTTCATGTTGCTGCAGATTATCCTTCCGAGTTAAACCTAGTCCACATTCTAGGCATGTATAGGGTTTCTCCCCAGTGTGAGTCCTTTGATGTGGCTGCAGACTTTGATTGTGTTTGAAGCTCTTTCCACACTCCAGGCATTTATAGGGTTTCTCCTGCATGTTGACAGTGGTATGTTTTTTTAACTGCAATATGGATACTTCTTTTTCCCTTTCCGATCCAAAGTCAGTTCAACAGGAACAGCACCTTGAGAGGATGTCTTTTTCATATAGGACTCTTTTCCTTACAGCTTCTTTGGTTTCCAAATCCCCCAATGTGCACTAGATGCTGCTTTTGTTGTCATCACACCAGAGATATCGCTATGAATTCCTTATGTTCCTGGTCAAGAAAGAAACAGCAAAAGATTAGACTTGAAGCCAAAAAACTCCATTCCCTCCTTTCTCTTCATAAAAGTTTGCTGCTACCAAATTTCCTGGTCTTCCCAAATGAATCCTCCGCTCAGCCAAGAATCTGCCTCCGATCTGGACACTTCAGATCCAGATTTAAACATATGGAGGTCTTCACAACATTCGTCTCTGCTGAACCAATTCCCTCTCTGCCTTTCCCTCCCTCCGTTGTGCCCAGGATGGGATGGCAAGGCAGGAAAGCCTCCTTACTTCCTTCATTCCTTCCTTCCTTCCTCCCTCCCTCCCTCCCTCCCCAGCTTTTTCTCCTCAGCCCAGTCATCCCTCTTCTCCTTTGCTTCTGTCCAGGGGACATTTCCCAACAGCTCAAGGATCTAGAGAAACAGGGCATTTCCATATAGGGATGGAGAAATGTTTGCAGGAATTAAAGGAATGAAGTCCTGGCCTGGGGAAGAACGGGCATCTCCTCTGACCATTCCTCCCACAGAAGCTTCCTCTCAAATGCTCTCCCGTACGTGGGTGGGACAGAGGGAAAAGGGAGAAGCAAATGTGCCAATTTCCCCCAGACATTAAAAAACAACCAAGGGCCGACAAGTTTGGCCTCTCAAAAGGAAAACCTAAGAAAGCTTGGGGGGGGGGGGGGGGGGGGGGTTGAAGAGAAAAAGTCTTTCCTGTGATGCCAAAATTGAGATAACCACTTAAGGAGCGGTTTGGATCCTGTAACTGGAGCGCCTGCTACTTTTAAACCAGATCAACACATAGACCTTGTTTGAAGGCTACAGGAACAGAGGTTTATTGCTTTGAGGGCTGAAAGAATGTCTGATTTATTATTATTATTATTATTATTATTATTATTATTAGTGGTAGGTGTATACTGCCCTTCTCAACTCCGAAGGGGACTCAGGGCAGTTCAAAGTGTTGGCAAAAGAGTCCCTGCTCTAATATAATTGGACATAACCTTGTTTGAGTCACCTACGGATGTGAGAGCTGAACCAGAGGAAAGGCTGAGTGAAGGAAGAGAGACGTTTTTGAACTGTGGTGCTGGAGGAAAGTTCTGAGAGTGCCTTGGACGGCGAGAAGATCCAACCAGTCCATCCTTCAAGAAATAAAGCCCGACTGCTCATTGGAGGGAAGGATATTAGAGGCTAAGATGAAGTCCTTTGGCCACATCATGAGGAGAAAGGAAAGCTTAGAGAAGACAATGATGCTGGGGAAAATGGAAGGAAAAAGGAAGAGGGGCCGACCAAGGGCAAGAGGGATGGATGGCATCCTTGAAGTGACTGGAATGACCTTGAAGGAGCTGGGGGTGGTGACGACCAACAGGGAGCTATGGTGTGGACTGGTTCATGAAGTCACGAAGAGTCGGAAACGACTGAATGAATGAACAACAAGCAACAAACCTTGTTTGAAGTGTGTTTTCTCATGAGAATGTCCCTGAAGGGTGCCGGGATGATGATGTGCTCCCTGAATTGCTACAAGAGAATTCCCATGATTTGGAGCTTGAGAACAGCTCGGCATCTGGCCCAGCTGCAGAAATTAATGAGCAAATAGATAGACGGGATGTTATTAGTCAGAATAGGGTCCTCCCAGGCAGAGCTTCATCATACGGTTTAAGGAAATGCAGAGCTTATGATGGGATCATAGGTGATGTCCGGAGTACAGAAAAGGAGTCAGCCTCTAAGACAGGGGTCCTCTCACTAAGGCCCGGGGGCCGGACACAGCCCTCCAAGGTCATTTACCCGGACCCCACTCAGGATCAACCAAAGTCTGAAACCACTTAAAAGCACACAACAACCACAACAACAATCCTATCTCATCAGCCAATAAGTTTATATTTGTTAAAATTGTTCTTCATTTTAATTTAATTACATATAATTAAAGTCAAAGTTTGTATGCGGTAAACAGAAGTGTGGCAGTGCAACCTGGTATGTGCCAGCTTTCTGATTGGCTGCCACTGTGGTGCTATTTGCATATGATCTGTGATTGGCCAGCCTGAAAGTTCCAAGATTCTGATTGGCTGCCACTGTGGTGCTATTTGCATATGGTCTCTGATTGGCCAGCCTGAAAGTTCCAAGATTCTGATTGGCAGTCACTGTGGTGCTATTTGCATATGGTCTCTGATTGGCCAGCTCCAACAGGAGCCCCTGGTGGAGAAAAGGGTTCATGACAGAAACGGAGACATGAGAGAAGGAAATTTGCATATGGTCTCTGATTGGCCAGCCTCAATTCCAAGATTCCGAGATGACAAAGAGATGAAAGGAAAAGGCCTGAGGCTGTGTCAGAAAATAACCAATACAGACCAAACTTGGCACACAGAGCCCACAAGACTGCAGTTTGGAAGAGGATGAACCATGGATGATGGGACTTGCAGTACCATCACTCACTTCCTGAGACCACAGCAACATTCATCTAATTACCAATAATGAACAAACTTGGCACACAGAGTCCCCATGACCCACTCTACATCCTACTGCAGTTTGGAGGAGGATGGACCATGGATGATGGGACTTGCAGTCCTTTCACTCACTTTCTGAGACCGCTGTAAACCTCATCCAATGACAGATCAAGACCAAACTTGGCATATAGACCTCTCATGACCCACTTTATGTTCTGGTGTGGTTTGGCCGGGGATGGACCATGGATTAAGGGACTTCCAGTACCTTTGCTCAATTCCTGAGACCACTGCAAGCCTCATCCAATTACCGAACAAGACCAAACTTGGCACACTGAGTCTCCATGACGCACTCTACATTCTGGTGTGGTTTGGAGGAGGATGCACCATGGATGATGGGACTTGCAATACCTGCACTCCCTTCCTAAGAACAGTACAACTGCCAACAATGATGGATCAGGACCACAATTCACACTGAGAGACCGCATGAACCAATCGACATCCTGGTGCAGTTTCCAGCAGGATGGACCATGGATGATGGGACTTGAAGTACCTCCACTCACTTCGCAAGACGGTTCCAACCCTCATCTAATGACCGATTAAGACCAAAGTTGGCACACAGAGGCCCATGACCCACTCTACAATCTGGTGCTGCTTGGAGGAGGATGGACCATGGATGATGGGACTTCCAGTAGCTTCATTCACATTCTGAAACCTCTGCGAGCCTCATCCAATGACTGATCAAGACCAAACTTGGCACATAGACCTCTCATGACCCACTTACGTCCTGGTGCGGTTTGGAAAAATTTGGAGATGGATGATGGGACTTGCAGTAACTTCACTCACTTCCTGAGACCACTGAGACCCTCACCAATGACTGATCAAGACCAAACTTGACACACGGAGCCCCAATGACCCACTCTGCATCCTGGTGCACTTTTGAAGAGGACAGACCATGCATGATGGGACTTAAAGTACCTCCACTCCCTTCCCAAGACTGCTGCAACCCTCATTTAACGACCAATCAACACCAAACTTGGCACACAGAGCCCCCATGACCCACTCTAGATCCCGGTGCTGTTTGAAGGAAGACGGACAATGGATGATGGGACTTGCAGTACCTTCACTCACTTCCTGAAACCACAGTGACACTCATCCAAGTACCAATAAAGACCAAACTTAGCACAGAGAGCCCCCATGGCCAACTCAACATTCTGGTGATGTTTGAGGGAGACTATGGATGATGGGACTTGCAGTACCTTAACTCACTTTCTGAGACTGCTGTGACCCTCATCTAATGACCAATCAAGACCAAACTTGGCATACAGAGCCCCCATAACCCACTCTCCATCCTGGTGCAGTTTGGAGGAGGATGGACCACAGATGATGGGACTCACAGTACCTTCACTAACTTCCTGAGACCACTGCGAGCCATATAAATAACTGATAAAGACCAACCTTGATACACAATTCCTTTCTCAAATACCCCGGGCAGCGCCGGGTCCCCAAGCTAGTATATAATAAACATTACATTTTAATTTATAGAATCATAGAATCAAAGAGTTGGAAGAGACCTCATGGGCCATCCAGTCCAACCCCCTGCCAAGAAGCAGGAATATTGCATTCAAATCACCCCTGACAGATGGCCATCCAGCCTCTGCTTAAAAGCTTCCAAAGAAGAAGCCTCCACCACACTCCCTCCGGGGCAGAGAGTTCCACTGCTGAACGGCTCTCACAGTCAGGAAGTTCTTCCTAATGTTCAGATGGAATCTCCTCTCTTGTAGTTTGAAGCCATTCTTCCATTGCGTCCTACTCTCCAAGCAAGCAGAAAACAAGCTTGCTCCCTCCTCCTCCCTGTGGCTTCCTCTCACATATTTATACATGGCTATCATATCTCCTCTCAGCCTTCTCTTCTTCAGGCTAAACATGCCCAGCTCCTTAAGGCGCTCCTCATAGGGCTTGTTCTCCAGACCCTTGATCATTTTAGTCGCCCTCCTCTGGACACATTCCAGCTTGTCAATATCTCTCTTGAATTGTGGTGCCCAGAATTGGACACAATATTCCAGATGTGGTAAAATACAATATTTTAATTATTGTATTGTTTTTAAGTGCTTTTTGCACTACAAATAAAATATGTGCTGTGTGCATAAGAATCCATTCATGTTTTTTTCAAATTATAATCCGGCCCTCCAACAGTTTGAGGAATTGTGACCTGGACCTCTCTTTAAAAAGCTTGAGAACCCCTGCTCTAAGATCATAAAGAAGCTGATGCAAATACAGCCAATTCAATAGAAAGCATACAGAACAATAAAGATTTCATCAAGGCGGCCAATTGAAACATCCCTCCAACAGACAAGAGTTCTTTCTCCCACCCTGGACATCATTCCATATATATATAAACTCCATTCTCCTAGTTTCCAACAGGCCTCACAACCTCTGAGGATGCCTGCAATAGATGCAGGTGAAACGTCAGGAGAGAATGCTTCTATAACATGGCCAGACAGCCTGCAAAACTTACAGCAGCCCATCAAGGCCTTGTTTGTGCCTGGTTCCCCCCGCCCCCCTCTCTATTTAGCTGGGTG